GATTTTAATTAAATTTCAGCTAATTTTTAATTTTCAGGTAGTTTTTAATATGGGTGTGGTTATGCGTACATATATGTCAAGGGAAAAAAACCAGATCCAACGACCACTTTATTTAATTTAAATTTTATTTTAACCTATCCCATAATATAAAATTGTCATTGTTTTAATCATTTCACCCCAAGAATAGCAACAAAGCCACTAAGACGCAAGAAGTTACAGAATGTTACAGAATATGTAAAAAAAAACATAATTAAGGAAAGAGAACAATAAATGAATATAATATAAGAAGGCAGTATAGCTGGCCATTTGTATTCAAAGATACCTTTCTATTAGGACGGCTAGCCAATCCCTATTGTAAACGCTTGCTCAGTCGCATTTGTGTTTCTTCAACACCAACAGAGGGGTTTATATGCAACCGTGCTGAGCAGACGTTAGTTATAGTTTCTGGGAGAGAGCATGTTATCTAGCGTGATCAACAATTTGAACAAGGCCAGAACACTCGATCCCTCGGTCACGATGACTTGTGACTTTGAGCTAACACAGCTATCGACGGCCCTAGGGGTTCCGTCTATCCAATTTCACTCACAGGGCTTGGGTCAACAGAAGAAGACAGTAGGTAACGATTGACATTGCATTTAAAATTTTGAAGATCAAAGTTGGCTGGAAAGCATGAAGCCGGAAGAGAGTTCCACAGGCGAGAAGTGAGAACAATAAAGGAAGAGGAATCAAGAAGACAGTAGATAACGATTGACATTGCATTTAAATTTTTGAAGATCAAAGTTGGCTGGAAAGCATGAAGCCGGAAGAGAGTTCCACAGGTGAGAAGTGAGAACAATAAAGGAAGAGGAATCAAGAAGACAGTAGATAACGATTGACATTGCATTTAAATTTTTTAAGATCAAAGTTGGCTGGAAAGCATGAAGCCGGAAGAGAGTTCCACAGGCGAGAAGTGAGAACAATAAAGGAAGAGGAATCAAGAAGACAGTAGATAACGATTGACATTGCATTTAAATTTTTGAAGATCAAAGTTGGCTGGAAAGCATGAAGCCGGAAGAGAGTTCCACAGGCGAGAAGTGAGAACAATAAAGGAAGAGGAATCAAGAAGACAGTAGATAACGATTGACATTGCATTTAAATTTTTGAAGATCAAAGTTGGCTGGAAAGCATGAAGCCGGAAGAGAATTCCACAGGTGAGAAGTGAGAACAATAAAGGAAGAGGAATCAAGAAGACAGTAGATAACGATTGACATTGCATTTAAATTTTTGAAGATCAAAGTTGGCTGGAAAGCATGAAGCCGGAAGAGAGTTCCACAGGCGAGAAGTGAGAACAATAAAGGAAGAGGAATCAAGAAGACAGTAGATAACGATTGACATTGCATTTAAATTTTTGAAGATCAAAGTTGGCTGGAAAGCATGAAGCCGGAAGAGAGTTCCACAGGTGAGAAGTGAGAACAATAAAGGAAGAGGAATCAAGAAGACAGTAGATAACGATTGACATTGCATTTAAATTTTTGAAGATCAAAGTTGCCTGGAAAGCATGAAGCCGGAAGTGAGTTCCACAGGTGAGAAGTGAGAACAATAAAGGAAGTGGAATCAAGAAGACAGTAGATAACGATTGACATTGCATTTAAATTTTTGAAGATCAAAGTTGGCTGGAAAGCATGAAGCCGGAAGAGAGTTCCACAGGTGAGAAATGAGAACAATAAAGGAAGAGGAATCAAGAAGACAGTAGATAACGATTGACATTGCATTTAAATTTTTGAAGATCAAAGTTGGCTGGAAAGCATGAAGCCGGAAGAGAGTTCCACAGGCGAGAAGTGAGAACAATAAAGGAAGAGGAATCAAGAAGACAGTAGATAACGATTGACATTGCATTTAAATTTTTGAAGATTGAAGTTGGCTGGAAAACATGAAGCCGGAAGAGAGTTCCACAGGCGAGAAGTGAGGACAATAAAGGAAGTGGAATCAAGAAGACAGTAGATAACGATTGACATTGCATTTAAATTTTTGAAGATCAAAGTTGGCTGGAAAGCTGGAAGTGAGTTCCACAGGTGAGAAGTGAGAACAATAAAGGAAGTGGAATCAAGAAGACAGTAGATAACGATTGACATTGCATTTAAATTTTTGAAGATCAAAGTTGCCTGGAAGCATGAAGCCGGAAGTGAGTTCCCAGGTGAGAAGTGAGAACAATAAAGGAAGTGGAATCAAGAAGAGTAGATAACGATTGACATTGCATTTAAATTTTGAAGACAAATGGAAAATGGCCGGAAGTGAGTTCCACAGGTGAGAATGAGAACAATAAAGAAGTGGAATCAAGAAGACAGTAGATAACGATTGACATTGCATTTAAATTTTTGAAGATCAAAGTTGGCTGGAAAGCATGAAGCCGGAAGTGAGTTCCACAGGTGAGAAGTGAGAACAATAAAGGAAGTGGAATCAAGAAGACAGTAGATAACGATTGACATTGCATTTAAATTTTTGAAGATCAAAGTTGCCTGGAAAGCATGAAGCCGGAAGTGAGTTCCACAGGTGAGAAGTGAGAACAATAAAGGAAGTGGAATCAAGAAGACAGTAGATAACGATTGACATTGCATTTAAATTTTTGAAGATCAAAGTTGGCTGGAAAGCATGAAGCCGGAAGAGAGTTCCACAGGCGAGAAATGAGAACAATAAAGGAAGAGGAATCAAGAAGACAGTAGATAACAATTGACATTGCATTTAAATTTTTGAAGATCAAAGTTGGCTGGAAAGCATGAAGCCGGAAGAGAGTTCCACAGGCGAGAAGTGAGAACAATAAAGGAAGAGGAATCAAGAAGACAGTAGATAACGATTGACATTGCATTAAAATTTTGAAGATCAAAGTTGGCTGGAAAGCATGAAGCCGAAAGAGAGTTCCACAGGTGAGAAATGAGAACAATAAAGGAAGAGGAATCAAGAAGACAGTAGACAACGATTGACATTGCATTAAAATTTTTGAAGATCAAAGTTGGCTGGAAAGCATGAAGCCGGAAGAGAGTTCCACAGGCAAGAAGTGAGAACAATAAAGGAAGTGGAATCAAGAAGACAGTAGATAACGATTCACATTGCATTTAAATTTTTGAAGATCAAAGTTGCCTGGAAAGCATGAAGCCGGAAGTGAGTTCCACAGGCGAGAAGTGAGAACAATAAAGGAAGTGGAATCAAGAAGACAGTAGATAACGATTGACATTGCATTTAAATTTTTGAAGATCAAAGTTGGCTGGAAAGCATGAAGCCGGAAGAGAGTTCCACAGGTGAGAAATGAGAACAATAAAGGAAGAGGAATCAAGAAGACAGTAGATAACGACTGACATTGTATTTAATATTTTGAAGATCAAAGTTGGCTGGAAAGCATGAAGCCGGAAGAGAGTTCCACAGGCGAGAAGTGTGAGGGAAGAAACTATTAGCATAGAACCTAGGGTTACATCTAGCCATTTCAACTGTAAACTGATGCGACCTTGCGGTCAGTCTAGCTCTGCGCTTGAATTTATAAAGTGTAGGTACTATAAAGAAAAGTTTGTCAGAAGAATTACCATGAAAATATTTATAGAAAGGGCACAGGGTAGCTACGTTAGAGTTGTGGGAAAGTGACTGAAGCCGAGATGTCAGGTCAGGACCAATAACATTGCAGACTCTCCTTTGGATTTTATCAAGAATCTCTAAATACATAGCAGAAGCACCAGTTCAATATTCAATGCATAGAAGAATGGTAGACTTATAAATCGGTAATATTATAAGTTAACTTATTTAAAATATGGTTTCTTCGCTACACAGTAATAACCATGTTTCAAAAACCGAAGCTAAAAACTTCAAATTTAATTATATATTTAAATTAAAAGCATTAGTTTTGTTTCATCTTCAAGCGAATAATTTAATGAAAAAATGCCGAAAACCTTTTTGTCGTTAAAAATAATAATAATAAAAAAACAAAAAAAAACAGACGACATGTGTTTAACGGATGTCAGAATTCGTTGATAAATGCACCCCTTCCCTCCCTAAACTTAACCTCTTTTTCGAACGTAACTCATAATTGATACAACAATAGTTAATAAAAATGAACACGCTACCGCCCCTGTCTGAATGATTGGATTTCTCTGTATCCTTGGAGACAGGAAATTATGAATTTATATGTGCGTTTAAAACTCAGTAAATTTAAAAATAAGTTATTCCAAAATTCGCTTCAAGATGAAACAGAACTAATGCTTTTAATTAAATTATATAAATAAATTTGAATTTTTTAGCTTTGGTTTTTGAAACATGGTTATTACTGTGTAGCGAAGAAACCATATTTTAAATCAGTTAATTTATAATATTTATGCTCTGTAAATTTACATTAAGCACTGTTTTGTAAAAATAAAAAATATCAATAAGAACACTGGATTATATATCATACTGTTCTTTTTTTTTTTTTATATATATATATATATATATATATATATATATATATATATATATCGGTAAATATATTCTGGAGAGACAAATTGTCTAGCAGGACAGTGATTCCACCCTCCTAGTAGCAGATTTAGAAATTGATTCGATATAATCTTTCTTGTCACAAAAAGACGTTATCTCAAGAAGGCGAGGTAAAAAAAGGTTCTCTCAGACGATTAAAGCAGTTTTGTTTTGGAGGCATTACAATTACAATTAACAAGCCATTCCTTGCCCCAGTTAACAACAGATTAAACGGAGTAAAAGATGTGTGTACGCATGTGCAGATGCACATGTGGGTCCGCGTGTGTAACCTTTAAAGTCGTCTTTTTGGTTTTGTTTTTTACTTATTTTTCTTTTCTTTTTCTTTTTTTTCCATATGAATCTAAACTCTTCTTGTGTTACATTAGGGAAAATCCGAGCGCAAAGCCCCATTAGCAAAATAGAGCAAGTAGAAAATCTATTAAGATTATATTTGAATTCGTCCAAATATCAATAGGAGACTGAGATTGCAAAAGTTGAAGGTATTAGCCGGTCCGTCGAGAATCCAGAAAATGATACCATTCACCCATTCACCCAGCCAATCCAATCGTTCGTTTGTGCCCCACCCCTCATCTAATAACCAATCCGTTACTCTTAATGTAGCAAACCCAGATCCATTTATTTTGTACAGTCAACCCTACTCCACTTAATACGCGCTTTCTTTCTTTCTTTCTTTCTTTCTTTCTTTCTTTCTTTCTTTCTTTCTTTTTTCGCGCCTATTGTCTTTCTTTGTCGTTTTTTCTATTTCTTTCTTCGTTCTTTCTTTTTCTCTTTCATTCTTTCTTTATTTCATGCCTTTCCTTTTTCTTTCTCGATTTTTTCTATTTCTTTTTTCTTTTTCTTTCTTTCTAACTCCTTCTCTTTTGTTGTTTCTTTCTCTATCACTTTTTCTGTATCACCGTTTCTCTTTCTTTCTCGCCTTTTATCTTTCTTTCTTTCTTTCTTTCTTTCTTTCTTTCTTTCTTTCTTTCTTTCTTTCTTTCTTTCATGCCTTTTTGCTTTCTTTGCTGTTTTTCTACTTCTTTCTTTCTTTCTTTCTTTCTTTCTTTCGCTTTCTTACCTTTTTCTCGCTGCCTTTTCTTTCTCCTCTCTTTTTTCTTTTACTTTCTTTTCCGTTCCGTTCTTTTCTTTTTTTTCTTTCTTACACTTTCTTTCTTTTCTTAAGATCATTTTGTTTTTCGTCGAAAACAACTTCCTGATGGCACCAGTAATGTGCCGGACATTAACTTTAGCGCAGTCGGGAAAAAAATGGATGATAAACAATAACAACATCCCAAAACAGGGATTTTACACGGAACAGGGTTGGGATCGGCATATTTGTGTCGTGTTTTCATGTCTGTGTTTCTACGTGTGGGTGAAAAAGAGAGAGAAGTCCGAAGATTAGCTAGTAATCTGGTGGGTAATATATATATATATACGGCCATGCGCAAATGCATGCGCACTCGTCCCGGTACACACAAGGACGCATGCGCGTGCACGTGCGCTTCTGTCACAAGCCTTTTCTTTCTTTTTTTCTTCTCTCTCACACACACACACACACACACACAGTTACATGCACGATGTATGTATATATTCAAGCAGAGCTGATGTCTTTAACTTGGCTTATTCTTATCAATACGAATCCGATATTAATTGTCCGACTAATTTCATTAAGATCTGTCGGTTTACTGCCGTATGCATTAAGATCCCGACGATGGCCTCATGACGCGGTCCCGAGAGAGAGAGAGAGAGAGAGAGAGAGAGAGAGAGAGAGAGAGAGACTGTGTCCCGAGATAGGACTAGTGGTGTGGAAGATAGTAAAGAGTTTGAACTTGATTTTTTTAAAACGTCTATGAGAAAGAAAGAAAGAAAGAAAGAAAGAAAGACTAGTAAAATTAAAACGACTGAGGTAAAGATAAGAAAAACGAAAGAAAGAAAGAAAGAAAGAAAGAAAGAAAGAAAGAAAGAAAGAAACAAAAAAGAAAGAAAAGAAAGAAAAAGAAAGACTAGTAAAAAAAAAAAACAGCTAAGGGTAGGAAAGTAGAAGAAAGAAAAAAAGAAAGAAAGAAAAAGAAAGAAAGACTAGTAAAGATTAAAACGACTAAAGAACGAAAGAAAGAAAGAAAGAAAGAAAGAAAGAAAGAAAGAAAGAAAGAAAGAAAGACTAGTAAAGATAAAAACATCTAAGGGTAGGAAAGTAGAAGAAAGAAAGAAAAGAAAGAAAGAAAAAGAAAGAAAGAAAGAAAGAAAGACTAGTAAAGATTAAAACGACTGAAGAAAGAAAGAAAGAAAGAAAGAAAGAAAGAAAGAAAGAAAGAAAGAAAGAAACAAACAAACAAACAAACAAAGAAAGAAAGACTAGTAAAGATAAAAACAGCTAAGGGAAGGAAAGTAGAAGAAAGAAAAAAGAAAGAAAGAAAAAGAAAGAAAGAAAGACTAGTAAAGATTAAAACGACTGAGGAAAGAAAGAAAGAAAGAAAGAAAGAAAGAAAGAAAGAAAGAAAGAAAAAAGAAAGAAAAAAAAAGAAAGCAAGAAAGAGCAATTGTGACGACTGTCGATTTAAAAGTGGTAGTGCGGGGTTCAGCTTTAAGATTGAGATTGGGTCGAGATTGGGTTTTTTCACTACACAAAAATGAATAAGACGAATAGAACTGCGGCGTTAAGAGCTGGTTGGCAGAGGGGAGCGGAGAGGTAAGTGAAAGGAGATGATAGCTGAAGTATACGACCTTAGAGAAAGGCGGGGGATGGGTGCCCATAGCATCTTGCAACGGCACGTGTACTCCAATCTGTCGCCTCGAAGACAGCGATGAGTAAAACTTTTAACAACAACGCCAATATGATCTTAACGCAAGTACCAAAACTTCTGCAATAATTATAAAAGTTTTTTTTCTTTCTTTCTATTTTTTGTTTTTTTGGGCTCTTTCTATGACTTTCATTTCTTTTTCTATGTCAAAAAGCGGGACGATTGGTTGTTATTATCAGACACGGGGTTGAATTCGCGTTTGGCAACAAAAATCTGTCCCCTTATTTCAACCTTTTCTTTCACATTTGGCGATAATGCATGTCCAAAATATTTGCGAAACTAATTTTCGCTTTTGCAGAAAGAACAATGTAAGCTGAAGTATGATTCACGCGCGGAAAATGTGAGTTTTTCGACCTCAGCAACTCAAGTTCGAAACTAGCAAACAAGCATTCAAAGTACTTCTTAATAAACTAGTTTTGTACAGTATTTACATTATTCGTACTATGTCACCATGTTTATCACAACGTTTTGGCCGTTGTGCGCTCCGGCCTTCTTCAGGTGGTTGGAATGTCGAACTGAGCCGTTTATTTCGCTAACTGGGGTACACTGTTCTACTTCCAGGCGCCATGTCTAATGTTATCTCCTAATACACCTCTGAAAGTTCTCCACTGCCTTAACCAGGTATTGAACTCACACTCATTTGGGTCCTGTCATTGGATCTAACTAACGCCTTTATCAACTGTGTCATGTGTCCTTGTGCGAGTACAAAACCTGGTTAAGGCAGAAATATAGACAGATACTGAAAGACCGAAACGTTGTAATAAATATGGCGATAAAGATGAGGACAATAGTCCGAATAATGTAAATAGTGTTCATAATACCTCATCTCAGAAATATAGACAGATAGTGAAAGGCCGAAACGTTGTAACAAATATGGCGACAAAGATGAGGACAAGAGTCCGAATGACGTAAATAGTGTACATCATACCTCATCTCATAAATATAAAAAGGTACTAAAAGGCAGAAACGTCATAATAAATATTGCGACAAAGATGAGGACAATAGTCTGAATAATGTAAATAATGTACATAATACCTCATCTCAGAAATATAGACAGATACTGAAAGGCCGAAACGTTGTAATAAATATTGCGACAAAGATGAGGACAATAGTCCGAATAATGTAAATAGCGTACATAATACCTCGTCTCAGAAATAAAGACAGAAACTAGTTTTGTTCGTACTTAAAAAAAATGGCTGCCTTACTTAAGTATTTTTTTCTATTCATTTAGCGTTATTGTTGTGTTTAAGAACGAATTCTGCTTTTTAAATCGATGGCAATATTTAAATAATTTTGCAATTGCATTGGTCAGTTTTGTCTACATGAGTAATCTAGGAGATTTTGTGATAAAAATGTCCCTCTTGTTGCGTGTAAGAAAGAAAAATATAACTAAAAATGAACGCCGTTTGTGGCTGGTTTCCGTAGGCGAATTTGTGCCTTCCGGATTTTTTGTAGAAAGTAAATATTCATTAGATACAAGAGAAAAGGTTGCTGAACTGCTAATTTCTTTCCTCTGAAAGGATATCCAACCTCCTGTATATGCAGCGAATGTTGGACAATCTTCTTAAAGATGAAGAAGAGACTTGAAACAACAGAAATATGTTCCTACAGAACGATACTGAGGGTACGGATCGAGTAACAACGAGGTTTTTGGTGAGAACAGAAACAAAAAGAAAACATATACTTAACATCAGGAAGAGACGGTTGAGGCACGTAACGAGGAAAGAAGGCTTGGAAAATCTGATACTCACAGGACTGATTGAGGGAAATAGGGGCAGAGGAAAGCAGCGCATAGCATGCTCGAGCGAATGGATAGCAGAACAGGGTTTGAAAGAAATAATGAAAAGACAAAGGGAAGAGAAGATGTGGAGGGCCATGATCACTTACGTCCTGAAAGGACCCTAAACATAATAGAAGAAAGAATAAGATATGGCAGTGAATGTTGGACAATTTCCTCACAGATGACGAGGAGATTTGAGGCAACAGAGATGTGGCTCTACAGAAGAATTCTGAGAATACCATGAACGGACCATGTAATCAATTAGGAAGTTTTAAAGGAAAATATGATAAAATTATATCATTTTTATCTTATCTTATTTTGAAGACAAGTAATTCTAAAAACTAAAATGAAAATGTTATCCGGCAGTCTCCTGTGATGTGGAATGTGGCTACTGTTCTTTATGTTTCCTGGAAACTCCCCGTGTACCGGAAGGCGATACTTCGGGTACTGCATCAGTAAACACACCACAATTTGAGCAACATTGTTTTAATGAATGTCAAAATTGTTCACTATTTACATTATTCGGACTATTGTCCTCATCTTTGTCGCCGTATTTATTACAACGTTTCGGCCGTTGTACGCTCCGGCCTTCTTCAGGTGGTTGGAATGTCGAACTGAACCCTTTATTTCGCTCAAAATTGTTTTACAGAAATTCGAAACTGCATTGAAATAGTGAATGATGTCTTCTAAAAGCTAAACAAAATATTAAGAAACAGGAAATATTCATTAAATATACGGAAAAGAGTGCTGAACTGCTTTGTAATATCAATCCTCCTATACGACAGTGAATGCAGGATAATTTTCTCAAAGATGAAGAGGAGACTTGAGACAACAGAGATGTGGTTCTACAGAAGGATGCTGAGAATACCATAGATATCTGATTTTTTTTCATTTCTGAGGTGAGAAGTTGTCATTCTTTTCATTACTTACAGTTGGAATAATATCTTGATTTTTGGTGTTATTTCAGCCATTCATTTCAGCCATTCATTTCAGCCATTATGTTCTCTGGCCTTCTTCAGGTGACATTTGCCATAGGTAACCTTCAATTCAAGGGAATTTCACACTGAACCATTTATTTATTTTATGGGGGTCGATTGTTCACTGTAATAATATTGTTTACACAAAAGCTACCATTATTATTACCGATACTGTAAAAAGAAATGTCTTAAAATATCAGCTACGTTTGTTGGTACCAACCGATCCATTATTCCTAAATATGCCTCAGCAAACTCTTGATATTGAGCAGCTGGAAACAACATAAGATCATCATCATCATCATCATCATCATCATCATCATCATCCCCTTGACTTTGTAATCATAGGGGCGGATCCGAATGCAGAAGCCATATTGAATCTCCTTCACAACGGTCTATCAATGGCAGCCATTACAATTCTGGTATAGTCATACCGCTCCTTTGCCTGACATTGTCCAAAGTAATAAATAAATAAATAAATGAATTAATGATAATAATAATAACAATAATAATAATAATAATAATAATAATAATAAATGTGGAAATAGAAAACAAATAATAATAATAAAAAATAATAATAATAATAAATGTGGAAATTGAAAACAAAAATAGTACCAGTTATAATAGGTGCGCTCGGAATGATAAAAAAGGAACACAAGAACACATTGAAAAAATACCTGGAAATTCCAGCTTAACAGAAATACGAAAAAACTGTCTTGATAAGGACATCAGCATCATCATCATCATCATCTCAATCCCAATCTCTCTTTCTCTTATCTACAATACAATTTTACAGCGAAATTTCTTGCCATTTTTATAGTAAGATATACATATAATATTTCTACTGGATTATCTCAGTAACAAAATCCGGAGTTCTTAAACACTGACCCGTCCATTTGATACACCCCACTTTTTTTTTCTTTTTTTTTTTTTGAGCATGAAGGTCAAACTTTGATGAAATTTCTAGGACACATTAAGGGGAAGAACTGTTTGAAAAGGGAAAGAAGGGCATAGGAGAACACCAATCATCTTACCTGAAGATTTTAAGTGAACGGAGAATGTCAGAGCGGTGACAAGGAGGGATGGCAAAGCGATCAACGTTTCTTAAACCTACAAGAAACAGGAAGCTGTGGAGAGTCATAATTGCCCGTTCCAGGAAGAGACACAGCGCATAAATAAATGAATGATTGATCGTGCCAAAAGTGATTTACGAACAATACGGTCGGGTAGACGATTCGAAGTTGATTTGTGAAATATTCGGCATTCATTGATCGAACACTTAGCATAAAAAAACATCGAGTGAATTTGATAAAATCTTTTTCTTGAAACAGTTTTCAGGAAATTAGATTTCTCAAGTCCACTAAATTTTATAACCCTTTCCAGGACCGGTGCGAGGATCCCGTGTCCCCATCGCTATCTAATCTATTTTAACTTTTGGCATTTAAAAGAAACAAATATCCCCCCCACCCAGTAAAATAGAAATTATTAAAAAAAAAACAAAAAACAAGAAATTGTAGGTCATTAAATGATATATGTCCTCTATGAAAAGTTATATATTAACTTTCGTAAAAATAAAGATTTATTAAATCAACGAAACGAATTAACTGGTTTTTGAAGGCATTGTATTATCTTTACATTAAACATAATTAATAGGATTTTTATTAAACAAATCTATACTTTAAAATTATATATCTATTATTAGATTACATATACTTGTTATTATATAATAATACAGTTTTCCTATTGTCTTTTACCTTTATAAATAGTGTCATTTTCTGCAGGTTAAGAAATTTTTCATATGAATTTTTCTGGCTGAGAATTTTTTCATGTAATTGTACATAAAATGTGTAATTTATTTCTTAATTTTAATTTTAACATTGCCATATCTAATGTAACATTGAATATAATATATAAGTATACATTTTAGATCATTATAATTAAATATATAAAAATATATATAAAAAATAATTTAATCATACTAGAGGCCCCTTTAAGACAGTCCTAAAGTATAAAAACAAATAAAAAATAAATAAAATAAATTTAAAAAATAAAAAATAACAACATTAACCTATTTTTTATCTTATGTATATGTTATTAAAGGGAAGCGAGGATGACATGTCTAATACACGACAGACAGTTCTAGACGAGCATGAATTACATACCCACACCTAGCCTCGAACATACTTTTTTCACTTTTCCACTTTAGCTTTGATCTGCATTTAGATTCGTCAAATAAAACAACACCCATAATAAAATTTTGAAATCTCATTCCCCCTCCCACATAAACTTACGTAAGCATCCTCATGCGTTTTAAGGGTCAAAAGGTTGGTAAATTCTGATATGTACTTTAAGATGCTTGTCAAAATTACAGTCGTTTGTTCTAAATGTTCTAAATAATAATAATAATAATAAACTGTAGTTGGAACCCTCGGATTGATTGAAAAAGATTCCAGTAGACTCATTGAAGGGATTCCTGATAGCCTATGCCTTTAAAGAAATACGAAAAATTGTACACACAAGTTTTTTTTTTAATTGGTCATTGGAAAATGTCATGATGCCATTTCTGACCTTAGGTCTCTGGTTGGGACCCGGAAAGAAATGAGTATAGATCATAAACCATAGGAAATAATAATAATAATAATAATAATAATAATAATAATAAATTAAAATACAAGGATCTTGAAGTGGAGATCTTAAAAATGTGGCGCATGAGGACATCAACAATCCCGCTTGTAGTTGGAGTACTCGGATTGATTGGAAAAGATTACAATAGATTCAATGAAACGAACATTGGTAGCCTATAATTTAAGGAAATAGAAAAAAAATTCTACTCACAAGTACAGCCTGCACCTTACAAAGGGCTTTATCTATGTAAAATATGTGTGATTTTTTAAAACTGCTCAGTGGAAAATATGATATCATTGCTGACCTTAGGTCTCTGGTTTGGACCCGGAAAGAAATGAGTATAGACCAGAAATCAAAGGAAATAAAATAATAAGGGCAAAGCAAGGGAGGAGAGAAGGCATCCGGCACGGAACAGATACTACATCTACAGCATCTATCCCGACCCGGGGGGGGGGACTACTTCTCATCCTCTGACAATCCTCTCGGAAGAATCCAGGGGAAAAGCCTCCTAAATATACCATTATCAGAGTGGGTGTCACCATAGGGATATTGGCCTCTTTACCCCTGCGTCGCTTTGTTGGTATACCCTATTCTCGCAGAATAATAATAATAATAATAATAATAATAATAATAATAATAGTCACTAGAACTCGTTAAAATATTCATGAAGTTGTTGTTGGTGGCCTCACGCACGAGTGCGCAAAAACGTAAAACGCATAAAGAAGAAAAGAGGTACGTTTATTATACACTGAAAAATCTACATAGAAATTAATTTTCACTCGAGAGGCAACCATGGTTAGGCTGATTTATTTTACGACATATCAACCCGGGTTTGATTGTTTAAGGCCGAAGTCGGTCGCTTTTTATCCAGAACAAAATATCTTTTAGAGGACAATGAATTCATTGTTCTGTTGGCCTTTCGATATTAATTACGATGAAGAACATTTTCACGACTTGCTTTTAATGCTTTATATCCTCAACAAAAGAAAATCAATTTAAATGTAGAATTTAAATGTGTGTCATGACATTTTTTCTCGTCAGAATCTATATTGCATATTTAGAAAACTACCATTCGCCAGTGCATTGAATTTTTCTACCGTATCAAATCAGGTGATACGAATATCTATCTATCTATCTATCTATCTATCTATCTATCTATCTATCTATCTATCTATCTTGTGTATATTTAGGCAGCAATTTTTCATTAATGCATGTTTCATTAAATAATATAGACAAGTTTCGTCTATTTATTTTAAGTAAGTTCCTTTGATATTGTCTGATAAGCTTGATAACATTATCATTGAAAGACGAATGGAAATCACCATATTGATACATGTTTAAATGCAATCTAAGCTTTTCGGCTTACATAAGCCATTCCCATACTTAATACTTCTCGTATTCACTCTCGCGTGATCATGTGTGACGTCACGAGCTACGACGCGATTTTCGCTTCCGCGTCTCGTATACACGAGTTAGTCGTTGCTTTGAAATTTTTCATGTAACAAAAACAGACTATCATTATTGTTTCGTCCGTTTATTGGTTGATATATTGAAAAGTAATTGATAATAGCTTATGTAAGCCGAAAGCTTAGATTGGATTTAAACATGTATCAATATGGTGATTTCCTTTCGTCTTTCAATGATAATGTTATCAAGTTTATCAGACAATATGAAAGGAACTTACTTAAAATAAACAGACAAAACAAATATTATTTAATGAAACATGCATTAATGATATATATATATATATATTTAATGAAGTTATTTGGTAATCCGTATGGATAACTCCAAGGAGGATGTAATCCAGAGAGCTCAATGTAAAAACAGAGCAAATATTAAGTATATTACGAAACAGCCAACTTTAAGGGTTCATGGGATTATAATTTATTTCCGGGATGTTGGTCCTAATTCATCAGATCTCCATTTTCATACAAAAATATTGGTGATTAATTTTTCCAGACTTCTATATATATATATATATATATATATATATATATATATATATATATATATATATATATATATTTGGGATAGATGTGAGTTTGTGACCCTGGGTTTCACGCTGACGATCGCAAAAGGTGAAATATATCTAAATATATATATATATATATATATATATATATATATATATATATATTATTTTCACACACACACACACACACACACACACACACACACACATATATATATATATATATATATATATATATATATATATATATATATATATATATGTTAAGTTGGATTGATGCCTGTTTGTCACCCTGGGTTTCACGCTGTTTGTGATCGTCAGACAAACTGATTAATTTTTAAATTCTGGATTTATATATGGTTGCGTATATCGGGGTTTTTATGGAAGTGGGAGGAAAAATTGTCGTCGGAAAGCCATTCATACTTAGGCAAACATACATACACGCACGTACACTCATTGACGTACGCAGATACACACACACGCACGCTCACTCACCGGTGCTCACACAAACATAAACATATATGAACAGTGAAGGAACTGGGCATGTATGCGCATTCATGTGTCGTTGCGTATATACGTACGCATTTGGTCGCTGTATTCAATGTTGGATTCTGTAGCGAATATTTTTTTGTTTGTCGCACTGTCAACACGCAGACCGTTCTTCTATTTTGTTCGCTGAATAATGTTTTCTCGCACACACGTATATACGTAAGATGGGGTCTGTGTAAGACTATGGTAGGTAAAAATATTGGTTACTTTCTCTTCTTCGAGAGTATCAGATGTCAAATCGAGAGGAGACGAACTGAGCCTAAAGCAACGTGGTCAGTATCGCAAAAATTTTACATATGGACTTATTAATAAAATGTTCTAAAAGGCCTTAAAAATCGGGTTTGTTGATGTCAAAGAAAAAATAAAAATATGTAATCACTCTTGTTGAGATTTCAAATGTAGAATTTTTCTATTTACTTTTGTTTGGACTGTTGTCCTCATCTATATTATAGAAATTATAGATATTATAAAAATTATAGGTATTATAAAAAATATAGATATAAAAATTATAGGTATTATAGAAATTGAATACACAATGGGAACCATTAATACGGAGTGCTAGAGAAAAGAAATAACAACAAAAAATTGCAATATGAGCTCTGGTAAAAAAAAAAAATTGCTGAGACATTAAGTTTATAAGAGCCAAAATTCAAGCATTGACGTCTTCAAGGACACATGGCTAAGAGGGTAAAAACGTTAGTTGGATCCAATTCCTTAACCCAAAGAGTTGTGTGTTCAGTACTTGGCTACTGCAATGGTGAATAAACCTTGGAGAGTTAAAGGGAGATAACTGAGATATCCGGAAGTGGCATGGCTCATGGAACAGTCTACCTCGGTGGACGAAAAAAAGGGCCCAGGTTGAAATTTCAATCACCCGAAAAATGCCGGAACGTCTTACAAAAAGATGAGGGCAGCATTCCGAACACTGTAAATTATTGCAACAACTTATATAAACAGATACAGAACTTCTCTATATTAGAATAGGTTCGTTATTTTTTTGAAATTATTATTATTTCTGACCTTAAGTCTCTGGTTGGGACCTGGAAAGAAATAAGTATACATCGGAAATCAAAGGAATAATAATAATCTATAATTCTCTGAATGTGTGTGCGTGTGTGTGTGTGATCGAATGTTATTTATGCGTTTCCACAGTTTTCATCCGATTTCGATGTTTTTTTTTTGTTTGATAGATAATTCTTCAGTGCCGGTTTTAAGTCCAAATTGTAGGCGACAATGGCTCTCCACTACTTCCTGTCCATTATAACTCTCAGCAACGTTTTGCAATTTACTATCTGTCCTTGGACATATACCTTCATAAAAACTTTAATAGAAATAAATATTTACATTATTACAATAATATTATCAATAACTATAATTCTCAAAATGTGTGTGTGTGCGCTCGCGAGTGCGTGTGTGTGTGTGTGCGCGAGTGCGTGTGTGTGCGCGAGTGCGTGTGTGTGTGCGAGTGCGTGTTTGTGTGTGTGTGTGTGTGATCGGATGTTGCTTATGAATTTCCACAGTTTTCATCCAATTTCGATGAAATTTTTCTTGTTTGATTGCTAATTCTTTAGAGCCGATTTTGAGTCCAAATTGGCTGGAAAAAAAATTACAATCTTGAAGGTGAAAAATCGAAAAAACCGATTTTTTACACTTTGCGCAAAAATCAAAGGGAAAATTTAATATCTGTAAAAAAAAAAAACAGTCTCCAATCAATTTAGAGAGTTGAAATCTAACGCAAAAGATTATTAGAATTATTAAAAAAGATAATATAAATAAAAATTATCGTATATTATTATTATAACGGTCCATGAAAGAGGTTCCTTCCTTGCAAGATTGAGAATGCAAAAACTGCACTTTTCAGTCCCCCCGCCCAATTTGGGTATGTGCCTCAGTTGCACCCAATTGTTGTTTCTAATATTGTTGTATTTACAACTAATATTCCCAGAAATGAGACACCCGCTCGAAGACGGATTATACTGCTAATGATAATAATAATAATAATAATAATAATAATAATGATGATGATGATGATGATGATGATGATGGTGATGATAATAATAATAATAATAATATTATAAGGACCTGTCGATCGAACAAATGTGGAAACTACAAACAACGAGTATCCCTGTTTTGATAGTGGCATTGGGTATGATAAAGAAGGGTACTGAAAGTAATGTAAGTACAATTTCTGCACACATTAGTACCTCAAAACTACAAAAGGGTACTTTGTGCAGAACTGCACATATCAAAACTTCATCAAATCGAAACGTCCCAATGTGCATAGATAACTCTCCCACGGTGTCATTTTTACTCGCAGACCCCGGATGGAATTTAGTAATCAAGCATTTAATATTACTCTCTAGCAAAATGATGCCACATGATGAAATAATACATTCAACAAACATCTTAAGGTACAGATTCTGAAAACAAATCCTGAATCTACTGACCTCTCAATCCTTATAACACATGAACATAATCATATATGCAAATTACTAAAGTACCACCCCGGGTGAATTAAAAAAATGATAGGTTTGGTTTATTTTGTTTTACGGCATATCAACGTCAATGGGTTATTTAATGCCGACAACATTTTTAGGATAGATTCGTATGAATAGAATATGTATTCTTTGGTTTAGATTGGTTTGGTTTATTTTGTTTTACGGCATATCAACCTCAATGGGTTATTTAATGCCGACAACATTTTTAGGATAGATTCGTATGAATAGAGTATGTATTCCTTGGTTTAGATTGGTTTGGTTTATTTTGGTTTACGGCATATCAACCTCAATGGGTTATTTAATGCTGACAACATTTTTAGGATAGATGCGTATGAATAGAGTATGTATTCCTTGGTTTAGATTGGTTTGGTTTATTTTGTTTTACGGCATATCAACCTCAATGGGTTATTTAATGCTGACACCATTTTAAGATAGATTCGTATGAATAGAGTATGTATTCCTTGGTTTAGATTGGTTTGGTTTATTTTGTTTTACGGTATATCAACCTCAATGGGTTATTTAATGCCGACAACATTTTTAGGATAGATTCGTATGAATAGAGTATGTATTCCTTGGTTTAGATTGGTTTTGGTTTATTTTGTTTTACGGGCATATCAACCTCAATGGGTTATTTAATGCCGACAACATTTTTAGGATAGATTCGTTTGAATAGAGTATGTATTCCTTGGTTTAGATTGGTTTGGTTTATTTTGTTTTACGGCATATCAACCTCAATGGGCTATTTAATGCCGACAACATTTTTAGGATAGATTCGTATGAATAGAGTGTATATTTCTTGTTTTAGATTGATTTGGTTTATTTTGTTTTACGGCATCAGTGGGTTATTTAATGATGACAACATTTTTAGGATAGATTCGTATGAATAGTGTATGTATTTTTGGTTTAGATTGGATTGGTTTATTTTTGTTTTACGGCATATCTACCTCAATGGGTTATTTAATCCTGAGAACATTTTTAGGATAGATTCGTATGAATAGAGTATGTATTCCTTGGTTTAGATTGGTATGTTTTACGGCATATCAACCTCAATGGGTTATTTAATGCTGACACCATTTTAAGATAGATTCGTATGAATAGAGTATGTATTCCTTGGTTTAGATTGGTTTGGTTTATTTTGTTTTACGGTATATCAACCTCAAT